TCTCTTTTCGGGGAGTTGAGGCTGCCTTTTCTGAGACTTGGCTTCCACGTCGGTGCGCGTTGGTAGCCAAGCCCGGTTGTTATGGCTCGAAGAGGTCGGTTTCGGGCTCTGCCCGTCCTGATGGGCATCAACTCAAGTGAATTTCGAGAATGCGTTGCAAACCTTGCGTCCAAAGAGGGAATACCCCCAGCCCATTTAGAGTCAAGCTAGCCTTGGCTGCGCAACCTCCCCAAGCCGGTGTTTTGTTTTCTTCCAAATGAAGTCACACCCACGATTTCAACATCTGACACTTGTTGAAGAAGCCGTATGAGAGAACGAAACGCACGAAAGCATGAGTATTTAATCTTGTTCTTTCCTAACACTCATCCGCCGCAGCTGAGATTTCGATTTGAACACTTTCAGCTCTTAGTTGTCGAGTTCTCTGGTCCCTGGATCAGAGATACCGTCTCGCCATGCATCCCATATCCATCTTGGTAACGCTCCTAGTTGCCTGTGCTTCCGCAACGGCGCAAGACCAACGTTTAACCCCTCTTCCCACCCCAACAGCTATCAGGTACTCAACTCAGACTACAACTATCACTCCTACCCCGAAGCTAGCCTTGGCACCGACCTCCCTCGTCACGGTCACAATCACAAGCTGGACGACAACCGTCGTGACAGTCACGGATATCGACACTGTCATCGAGACCGTGACGCAATGGGTCCCGCCGCCGACACCCACGTCCACGGTTCGTTTGACAACGTCAACAAGCTCCGGGACATCGCGGTCGACGACGCAGGCTCCGGTGCCTGAGCCGACGCAGACAAAGTATGGACAGTGTGGCGGGTCGGGATATACCGGCGCGACGAAGTGCGCGGCTGGGTCGAGCTGTTCTGCGGTCTCACCGCCTTGGTATTATCAGTGTTTATAGTTGGAGAGGACATGTGCAGAGTCAGTTGAGAATCTGATGCGGACGTTCAAAATGCCTACATATATACTTCTCGTTTCAATGCCTCTGTGGCGTTTGCCGTTTCCTGGCTTTTTGATTGAGGGGTACGCATATCTTGTCTGTCCGCCCGTTTCACAGCCCTCTAGCTTCCCAAGCCTTTCCCCGAAGTCTGCCTGTTGGACATCGATTCTCCAAAGAACGCCTAATGCAACGGTTCATCCCCCCACCTTGTCTCTTGACGAATAGAATCCGACTTGAGCTTCATAATTGCTTTCTATCGAACCAACCAAGGCACAGATGCATGCAATGTTCAGGGGCCCCGCGAAGCCACCCACCCAGCCCGCATCCGCCCAGCCATGCAATTGCGTATCAGATAGAGCGCTAGCATCAAGGCGTCCGCTACCCAGTTCGCATCAATTCCACAGCCAGGCCTTCTGAGGGCGCATCCCAGCTAACGAAGCTTCCCAAGAACATCATGCCAGCCCGCTCGTTAGGGATCATGAGACAATGGACCCGGCGTCCGCCTTCGGGTTCGCCGTCAACGTTTTGACGGTCGTCGATTTCTGCTTCAAAGTTCTGTCTGCAGCATCTGAGATCCGTACCATGGGGACGACTGTCACGGCAGCTGATCGTCTATCGATCGTCACGGACCTCGAATCTTGCTGTCGAAAACTTAGAGACGACAGCTCCGTCGCCCACGATGATTCGGCACTATGTGGCCTGGCATGCGAGGCAAGGCTCATTGCCGCTGACATCGAGCGCAGCTTACTTCAACGTAAGGTCGGGCATACTCCACTTGGCAGCATGCGCGACGCTTTCCTTCAGATATGGGGAGAGAGAAGGATGAGAGACAAAATGTCGCGTCTGGAGACGATTCGCAACGAGTTGCAGTTTCGCATCATTGTTTCCATGAGGGATGGTATTCAATACTCCAGTCTAAAGAACAGCATTGCGCTTGAGCGACTTCAGAACCAAACGCACAATTTACCGTCAATGTTAGAAGAACGCATGGATAATATAGATCGAAATGCCGAGCTCTATCACGCCGAAATCATCGAGTCCCTTGCAATCGGCCAACGTATGCAAGAGGACAACAACAGCTCAAATCGCCAGGGCTCCGTCACTGAACAGATGCTAAGCGCCTTGTGGGTTTCTAGCCTCAGCGACAGGCACGATGACATTGAAAACGCACATGAGAATACTTTTGATTGGATCCTTCCCAACCAAACATTTTTGGGCCAACAATCATGCGATTTTTCGGAATGGATAGAGTCCAACAATGGACTCTACCTGCTCAGCGGAAGAGCTGGCACCGGCAAAAGCACTTTGATGAAATACATCGCAACACATCCGCAGATAACAGAAGCATTCCAGAGGTGGGCTGGCTGTCATGAGCTCATCATGGCGACATACTGGTTCTGGGACCGACAAGGCAATGGCCTTCAAAACTCTCTTCGAGGCCTGCTTCAGGGTTTGCTGTTCGAGATCATAAAGAGGATACCCGCATACGGATCACATCTCTTCCCAGACCATCATTTGGTTGCTCGATCGGGTTGGCAGAGGGACTTTCCCACGCTGCATGAACTCAAGAGAGCCTTCAAGAGACTTGCTTCAGCTCAACCCTCGCCTGCATACGTCGCTATTCTTATCGATGGGCTCGACGAATGCGAAGGAGAATTTCAAGACCGGGTCAAAGTTGTTGAGCTTCTTGCACAAGTCGCCGTTTCCACCCATATTAAAGTTGTGGTGTCGAGTAGGCCTGATACAGCCTTCGAGGTCACGCTCCAAGGTTGTAACAGACTCCAACTGCACCATCTGACCCAGCAAGACATACAAACATACGTAACCGACACATTGTCCAGTCATGCCAGGGTACCGTATCTAAAATCCCAACACCGCGGCCAAGAAGCTTTCTACGACCTAATTCAAGCCATCGTATCGAAGTCCGAGGGTGTCTTCTTGTGGCTGCGACTCGTTGTCCAGTCTCTGATGGAACATCTCAACGACTGCAATACTATTCAAGACCTCCACCAGGTGGTGGGCGTATTTCCCGAAGGCCTTCAGACTCTCTATTTCGGCATGATGCGACGGATCCGTACAGATCACCGACCTCGAGGCTATCAGCTGTTGCAGCTTGCGAGGATAAACATTGCTCTTTCGGAAACACTAACGCCATGGTACTATGCCACTGCGGACAAGACGCTTCCAGAACCACCGTCACACTGTCTGACTGCGATTTGTATTTCCTTGGCACATGGCGATACCTCGACGGTTTTATCTCAGGAGATAGCAAGTCCTGATCCGGAAACTCTGAAAGACACGAAGGAGAAAGTTGATAACCGACTCAGAAGCTGGTGTGCCGGTCTTCTGGAAACTAGAGGCCCGTCCAACTCTTCCTCGGACCGTTCGAAGGACCTAGAAGTTCACTTTCTGCACCATTCCGTCGCCGAATTTTTGGACCGACCCGAAGTTCACTTGGAGATCATGAGCACCGTTCAAGAGACACACTTTGAAACCGACAAGTTGCTAGTCATGGGCTTTCTTGCGAGGCTCAAAACATGCACGGAGGTGTGGCGCAATTGGAACATAGGGTGCCCGTCTTTAGAGTGGAACTACATTGAAATCATTCTTCGATTAGCCCGGCACGCGAATGACTGGGCATTCTCGACTACCTGCGATATACTAGACGAGCTTGATCGAATCATGACGTTCGTAAAAACCAATTACTGGACAGTGCCTGGCCACTGGTCAGAAGCCATGAGACGGCGCTTCGATATGGACCACTGGACGAACTATTTCCCTTGGAACAATCAATGGGCTGGGCGAGGGAAAATCACATATTACGGCGACAACGTTGTGGACTATTATGCTTGTCATCCCACCTTTGTTTCATTCGCCATGTCTTTCGGGCTTGCAGAGTACGCCATCTCCAAGTTACGCACCGTGGTCCAGGCTTCTATGATTCGGATGGAAGGACAGCCCTTATTAAGTTCAGCTTGCAGACCACCCCCGGCCCTGGTAAGAATGCCTGGTGCTATACGCCCAGAAATCGTCAGTCACGTTCTTCAACTAGGCGCAGACCCCAACCGGGCATACGCCTCCATCACTCATGCCGGAGCCTCGACGACACCATGGAAAGAGATGCTGACAACTCTCCACGACCTCCGCATCGTATGCATCAAAGGAGCTCAACAATTAGCCGACATCGTGACCTCCATGGTCATTAGCGGTGCAGACCCCAACGCTGAAGTCTCCTTCGAAGAGCGGAGTGCACGAGGTTCCGCCAGTCATTTCATTAAGCGCAAGCCTTTACAGCTCATACAGTACGCTTTCATTGACAAGTTGGAGACTACTCAAACAGCACTCTACGAAGGTCTTGTGTACCATGATGATCTCTTGAAGGAGTTCAGGCCGTGTACCCGAAGCCGATGGGGAACATACGTTGGGAACTTTGTTCCATTCGAAAGTCTCAGGCCGGACTGGACCATATCTGAGTGTCCCTGGATCAACCATTTTGGCCCGTTACAAATTGCGGATTCAGACGCTACAAGGCTAGGACCGACCGAATTAGATGGAATCAAGTATATGGGACGCAAGCTGATGGACTTACTCAGGAGTAAAGGCGCGGTGGCAGATGTTCCTGAGGTGACAGCGCAGCAGAGGAGGCGCCATCTTGCTTATTACAGACCGTGGCTCGCCCGAAGGTTTGGGCGCGGGTCTAGATAATGGGGGATGAATTCATCAATTACAACTTTTTTGCTGATGTCTGCTTCTTATGGCACTCGGCGAATATATGTAGCCCCAATCGCCACAAACGTGGCATTCGTGCCTAGCTCACAAGGTAGGCAGTATAAAATTCCCACGATCGGCGGCTAATGCGAACCTGTATGAGTTTTTTTTTTTTTTTTTTTTTTTTTTTGTTTTTTTTTTAAAAGTCTTGACTTTTGAGGCCCCGGCTGCGTTTTTCTTTTCTTTTTTTTTGGTCTATAGTCCACCAGATCTCAAGTTTCTGCCCACAACAACCAACCCGTCCGCTAACAAACCCTCACAAACGACGTCCTCTTATCAAATATGGCTACCACTTTCCACTCGTTTCGGAACCTACCAGCTGAGATTAGGCTCACAATTTGGGAAATGGCAATCGCACCCATGAGCTCCGCGCCCTGCGCTTGTGTTGTTCGCGTCGTCTCCCTCAACAAGCACGAGAACCCGGAGTCAACCAGTAAGAATGATGCGGCCGGTCCGTCGGAAGACCATCGAACTGGATACCTGTCTCTCGACACTTCAGAATTCTTCGACTTTGGATTATGGACTGCGAGCACCGAGTCGAGACAAGTCATTTCCAAACACGTCCTAAAGCACGCTTCCAGAGAAGAGCTCGGAAGACATGCCAAGCTCGGTCGGATGATGCATATAAACGGAGAGGAAGTCGTCTTCGACGTGTTCAACCAAGTCATTACCTGCTTCCGAGTATCAGAAGATGAACACCTCGACGTCGACGAAGCGCTAGAGGTTATAACATACACCTTGAAAGGAACCAGAATACAACCTACGCAGTTTATTGCGTTCGAATGCGACGAATCGTGGGAGTTTCATAGTGCACTGGGAGACGATCCTCAGGTCTTAGAAAAGATGATGAAGATGCCAGGGCCTCGAGGGGCGTGCCTCAGGATTGCCGACAAAATCATTAGGGAGAAGCTACAAAGCCACATTTATCTTCTCATCGGCAACAAAGATGCTTGTGCCGAGCCTCTCAACGAGTGGCAACTTGAGTCTCTCGGCCCCTATGGATATGTCAGTTACTACGGCGACGGTTACGGTTTCACGTCCGGGACGAAATTTGAAGATTTCCTCGATCACGTTCACGACGATCAGATTTCAATGTGGAACATCGCTTCATCGTTCATTGACCTGTTGGACAGCAAAGGAAAGGACCACTGGGACCCCACAGGTGCATATAAGAAGAAGCTTCTAGAAGTGTATCTGAACCCATGGGATTCTGAAGCAATCCGCGCTAATCCTGGAGATTACTGGGCCTGCGAGCTTGCGGTTTCGCCAAGGAAACTTGTGAGCGAGTACATCTGCGAACGGATTCAGACACCGAACCTAGGGTAATTGGAGAGTTATGCTATCCGGGCGGGTAGTAACCATCGATAACAACAGGAACGATGGATAATAGGGACGACGGGGAAGACGGGGACGACGGGGAAGACGGGGACGACGGGGAAGACGGGGACGACGGGGAAGACGGGGACGACGGGGAAGACGGGGACGACGGGGATAACAGGGATAACGGGGACGATAGGGATAATAAGAACGAAAAAGGCGATAAGATTAATAGATTGTTAGTATATAAATAACTATTAGACCTTATATAACAGTTATCCGCCCGGTTAGCTAGAAGTATCCGCCCGGATAGCAAGACTCAATTGGAACGACGATGAGCATGTCGGGCAACGTGCTTTGCAATAACTCTCATCTATATACTTAGACGGATTTGATATTTGAACCAACAAACAATTTCCTTTGCTACTCTTTTGAAAGCCCCAGGCGTGCTTCCGTGATCTGAACAATATCTCTCCAGTCCATCATCGCTCCCGAACCAGTATCTCCACAAGCTAATGTCTTCTCCATGGGTTGCAGCACCTCAAACCAGTTCCACTCCCGGAGAGCACTCAGTTGCTTCCCTGTGATAGGGTGGTTATGCATACTTTGATACAAGTCAGCTTGGCTTCTCTCCGAGTGTATCAGGGGTGAACCTACGCAGAGTTCATCGCGCTGGCGACGAGGATCCTCTTCTTCCGTCCATCAATCAGACCTTCTGGGTCCCACGCCCGAACAACACTAAGTAACAGGCTAGAAGAAAGTCAGCATAGCCGGGGATAGGCCGAAATTGAAATGAAACCCTACTTGTCCGAAAAGCCGTTCACAATCTTGGCGAGGGTATTCGCGCTCAACGGTGCGATGAGCATCATGTCCGCCCAGCGCCGCAACTCGATGTGCAATATGCTAGCGCCGCGTCTCCAAGGAGATACCCATTCCTGTTCATCAAGATGAATCCCGTCTACGTTCTTCATCTTGCGGACCGTGGCTAGTGACGGCTGCTCTTCCGTATTGCCGGTCAAGAATTGTGCCGCGGAAGCAGTGAGGATGAGTCTGATGGAGAGATTTTCATGTTTTCCGAGCGCTTCAATGATATTTGGAATCTTAATGGTTGCTACCGAGCCTGAGGCGCAAAGTAAGAGGTGCACCTTGCCATCGTCCCGAGACGCTGCGACTTCTGCGGCGGGGTCAGACATTTGTGCGTCTTTCTGAGGAGGTGTGGCTGAACAGAGTCAAATATCAGGGCTGCTAGAGTTCTCGTGTATCTGTATTCAGTGTTAGCACCGTTTCCATGGCCCTCTCCCTTGAGAAAGCACCAAGGGTTGCGGCTTTCAGTACCGAGAAGATGGACTTCGACTCATCAACACGACATGAGCCCCACATCCGAGAGTTGAGGGAATGTAACTTACACGCCGGTATGACTTGAACTCTTCTTGTGGTGCGCTATAAAGGGCTCAAGATGAAAATGCTTCGTCAATCGTGAGTTAATAAAGTAGAAAGTTCAGAAAGTGTAGGTAGCTGGTGAAAGAAGATTGGTTTGGGATGAGGGAGATATTGTAAGTTGAATCACCAAACGCAGATGACTAAGTCGGACACTAAGGCCCAAGTGTGTGGGCCACCCGGCCGGCCCCGCCACCGCGGCCGGACCGGCTGTAAAATCAACTGAGCTGTCTTTCTCAGCTGATTTCTAATATTCCCAACGAACAGATCCTTCTTGAATTTGCCCTGGAGAGATCAAATGATTTAGATCTAATGATGAACGTCGCATTCTGATACAAACGCAGTATGAGAGTGTCTGTGGTATTCCAACACCATCTGGTAGCCAGCTTCACAGTGCAGCACTCACTAAAAGCCCCTCCAAACACTGAGCCATGTACATCAAAATTTTGATGGTAGAAAAATGAGCCGCAATTGATGAATAATGCATCAGAAATGACTTCGTGATGAAAGAATTGGATGAACCAGCGCATTGAGACAAGACGCAACGGCCGCTTACCTAACGACGCTAAACCGAGCTCACTGATCTCATTGGCCAATCACATGTCGACCGCTCATCCCAGGCATTTAGCGGGGTCCCAAATTTTCCAGGACTGCAAGGTGCAGGCCAAAAAAAAGTTGCTGTAAATCTTCCAGGTTGCTATCGGACCAAGCGAGAAACTTCCGAACGGGGAAAAAAAAATATCACCACATCATGGCGGCGGGCAGCACGTCTTCCTCCCTCACATCGACATCGCACAGCTCCCACACCCTCTCCTTCGCGCCCGGCATGGTCGCCCACATGCCCCCAATGACCGGCGCCAGCGCCGCCGACGTGCGCGCCCTGCTCGACAACATGGGCCCCGCGAACCGCCACGCCTTCCTGCAGCCGCCGCCCGCGATCCCGTCGGCCTCGCTGCAGGTCGTCAAGGACACGCTGGACGCGTTCGCCGGGCAGATCAGCGACGAGCAGCTGCGGCTGCTGAAGGAGGCCACGAAGAAGCGCAAGAGGGCGGATGCCGACCGGGCGGACGTGCTCAAGATCCGCAAGGTGCACGTTGACGGGTTCGAGACGGGCCAGGTCTGGCAGCAGGCCCGGCGGATCATCAAGAGCGCCTTGAAGCACTCGCAGGAGACGCTGCAGGAGCTCGAGGACCGGAACGAGGTTGTGACGAACGGCGTCGGAGAGGACAGCCTTGCGGAGTCTGACGAGGAGGGATCTGAGCTCGACGGCGAGGAGGCAGGCTCTGATGAAGACGAGGAGCTCTCGGGATCCGACCTGGAGGGCCTCGAAGATGACGAAGAAGACTTGGAAGAAGGGTCCGATATTGAAGGCCTGACCGGAGACTTGGAAGACATGGACGAGGAGGAAGGTGAAGAGGACGACGACGACGAAGAGGAGGATGATGAAGAAGAGTACGTCGAAGACCCGAACGGACTCAACGACGGCTTCTTCTCCATCGACGACTTCAACAAGCAGACACAATGGTTCGAGGAGCAAGACGCAAAGGGAGACCCCAACACGGACGCCGCCAGCGACGATGAAGAGATCGACTGGGATGCCGACCCGATGGCCGCTTCTTCCAGCAAATCAAAATCTACAAAACACGCCGATGACATGGACGAGGCTGCTGAAGACGCCGAAGATGTTGAGGAATCTGACGAGGAGGACGGCCCCACGTTCGGCGACATGGACCTCAACGCCCCCGAAGGTGCCAGCGATGATGAAGACATGGACGAGGACATGGCCGAGGAGGGAGAAGAGTTCAACGCCAACGGCATCTACTACAAAGACTTCTTCGCGCCACCGGCGAAGAAGTGGAACAAGGACAAACCGAAGAAGAAGAAGTCGGTCCGCTTCGCCCCCAAGAAGGTCAGCGAGGAGGACGTTGAGCGCGCCATGGAGGACGTCAAGCGAGACCTCTTTGACGACGACTCGGACCACGGCGACGACTCCGAGGACGCCCTGTCCGACGTCTCTGCCGGCGACCCGCGGTCCCGCAGGTCAGCCCACGAGCGCCGCCAGGCCAAGCTTGCCGAGGAGATCCGCAAGCTCGAGGCCGAATCCGTCGCCAAGCGCTCGTGGACGCTGTCCGGAGAGGCCTCGGCCGTAGAGCGCCCGACCAACTCCCTGCTGGAGGAGGACCTCGCCTTCGAGCACGTCGGCAAGCCCGTGCCCGTCATCACGGCCGAGGTCAGCGAGGGCATCGAGGACCTCATCAAGCGCCGCATCCTCGCGCAGGACTTTGACGAGGTGATCCGCCGCCGCCCCGGCGCGGAGCTGCCCGAGAACACGCGCCGCGGGCTCATCGAGCTCGACGACTCCAAGGGCAAGGGCCTCGCGGAGGTGTACGAGGAGGAGCACCTCAAGAACGCGGACCCGGAGGGCTACGTGTCCAAGTCGGACGAGAAGCTGCAGCGCGAGGAGAAGGAGATCGAGGGCATGTGGAAGGAGCTCAGCGCGCGGCTCGACGCGCTGAGCAGCTGGCACTACAAGCCGAAGCCGGCGGCGCCGACGCTCACGGTGGTGTCGGACGCGGCGACGATCAGCATGGAGGACGCGCAGCCGACGACGGCGCAGGGCGTCAGCGGCGGGCAGAGCGCGCTCGCGCCCCAGGAGGTGTACAAGGCCGGCAAGGAGACGGCGGAGCGGGGCGAGGTGGTGGGCAAGGACGGGCTGCCGGTGGCGCGACAGGAGATGTCGCGCGAGGACAAGCTCAGGCGGCGCAGGCGGGAGAAGGAGAGGATCCACAAGGCGGGCGGCCTGGACGCGGCCAAGAAGCCGCTCGGCAAGAAGGCGCAGATGCAGAAGGACACGCTCGCGGACCTGAAGAAGGGCGGCGTCAAGGTCATCAACCGCAAGGGCGAGGTGGTGGACGTGGACGGGAACAAGGCCAAGGCACAGGCGCAGGCGACGAGCAGCAGCTTCAAGCTGTAGAGGGCGCCGTCGCTGGTGGATGGTGTAAGCATGTGGACGGAGTTGTCACGGGCGTTGTCGGTCATTCCTCCTGGGCGCGATATAGAGCCCAGAGTAATTTGCATGTATCGCAAAATCAAAAGCATTCATCTTTCCGTACCTTGCTCTGTCTGTTTCCGTATGAGACGAATAGGAAGCCAGGCAATTCGCAACAAAAGCACATGTCTGTTCTCCCACACGTCGTCCACAATCCCAGCCCATTATCGACGGTGGTAATGACATGGTCGACGGCGAAATGACACACAGAAACTCCAAGCCTCAGCATCCGACGCCGGCAGGGTCTGCAGCATCGCCAAGGTTTCTTCTCTCCATAGCCAGCGCCGAATGCTCTCCGAAGACGCAGGTCGCAGCACCCCGCGAAGAATGATTGAGGCCCAATCGCAGCCGGACCTTCCCAAATCGCCGGTCGGATCTTGGGGTCGGCAGAGGCCGGGTGAGGCGTCCTCTCCAGTGTGCGCGCGGCAAGACAAGGGTTGTAGTGGTGGCCACCCAAGCTGCCAAACCCAAGGGTCCAGATGGCAGCAGCCAGCAAGGCATTCCACCAATGAGAACCGGACCATAGCCGTTTGTCACTGACATTAAATTCGGTCAGCACTGCTGTCCACAGTGCTTTCCTAGCGCTTCCTGCACCGCCCACCTGACGATTCAGGGCGGATGGCAGGGGGAGTGAAGAAAAACCCTTCACCTTGAGGGAAAAGATTCAGGTGGGCAATTGGAAATCAGAAATCGTGAGGCCCTTGGTTGGGCCGTCGCCCTTCATCCGGGTGCAGTAATGCAAGGTCATTGATGGTCATCTTCCCTCTTCTGCAAACCCCTGGTGCACCACCCTTGGTCTCTCCCCTACAGCACACTGCGTAATGGGCCCCCGTCCATGACATCGCCCTGCCCGTGGATTTTTATTGTGAGCGCCTGCGTCTTGCGCAAATGGGGGCGGGGAGAGGGTACTGATTGACTGGAATGGTCGAAGGGTGACGTTCCGCTTTCGGACCCCTATTTTGCAACCCCCAAGGCCAGGCACAGCAAAAGGCAGAAAAAAGCACAACGACCCAATGACTTTGTCGCATCCGTAAGCAAGAGATCTGATTAATGAGCGTGGGTTGATCGGAGTGGACAGAACGTTTCCTTCTCCCCCGTCTCGCCGTTCTCCGGCCATTCTCCGTAGCAGTACCTTGCTTCCAACAACTTCTTTTATCAGCCGCCTTTTCCTTTCTCCCCCCTTCAGTGAGTGTGTTCCTCCCACGCATCCTGCCTGCCTGCCTATCCTGCACCTTACGTCTGCAATACCCACTGCCCACTGCAAGACCAGTCCCCGCGGAATCGTCCACTTCACTGGCAACCTACGCAATACCGTGTAACTAGGCCTCCCGATTACGGTGCCCACCCCGCCAACCCCTCACCATTCCACGCTTATCAAGCACCGCAAACTGGACAGTACGCTACACAGTTTTCCTCCGAATTTGCCTTTGACTAATCCCCTCCCAAGAGAAGCCATCCCATCCAGTCAATCACCTTCCTCTCTCTCCTCACGTCAACCTCCAGTCGGAAATTTCCACCAGCCTACCCCAGAGACTTTCCACGTTCTTCACCATTCACTCAACCATAGCCGCCTGAACCTCCAACAAAACCTCCCAACCCGCGTGAACAACACACCTTAAACATCCCACCGTCACACGCGACCCCCTCTCCTCTCCAGGAAAAAAAAAAAGCCAACAACCGCAGCAACAATGGCGCCCTCAATCATAACCCTCGACACAACCCCCGACTTCGACTTCACCCCCTCCGCCCTGCCCCCGTCAGCAGCGGCGCCCGCGGCCACCCCCAAGCAACAGGAACGAACCCTCCTCCTCGCGCCCCCCTCCCTCTCCTCCGCGCCCAACAAGCTCTCCGCCGCCCTCGCCTCCCACGACCGCGCCGCCACAGACCTGCAGATGCTCGACCGCCTCTCCGCCCGCCTCGTCGCCCTCCCCGAGTCCGCCTACGACCTCGTCCTCGTCCTCACCGACGCCGACGGCTCCCGCGTCGAGTCCACCCGCCTCCTCTCCGATCGCGCCGTCCTCTCCGCCGTCGCGGAGGCCCTCAAGCCCGCCGCCCGCCTCCGCGCCCAGGACGGCGGCAACCTCGCAAACGACCCCGCCGTCGCCCGCGAGGCCGTCCTCGCCGGTCTTGTAGCGGTTGGTGGTGCTTTCGAGAAGCCCGATTACGACGAGGCGCCGGTCACTCTCTCCTTTGGCAAGAAGAAGACTGCCACCAACGGAAATGGTGCCGTGTCCCTCACCGGCGGTGCTGTGTCTCTCAACGGAGGAGGTGCTGTCTCGCTCAACAGCAACGGTGCCGTGTCACTGAGCAGCAAACCCTCGACCGCCCCAGCCGTCTCCGCGCCCCCGGGCGTGGGCTTCGTCGACTTCAGCGACGACCTCGACATGGACGATGACGACGACGAGCTAATCGACGAAGACGCCCTCCTCACAGACGCAGACCTCTCTCGTCCCCTCAACATCCGTACGTTTTCCAACCCTCCAGAAAGAGCCACAACAGAAACATTGGGAAATTGTCTTGACTAACCTACTCTTTTAATACAGCCCCCGAATGCGCCCCCAAGGCCGGAAAACGCCGCCGCGCCTGCAAAGATTGCACCTGCGGCCTCGCAGAGCGCATCGCCGCTGAAGACGCCGCCACCCGCGCCGCCGCCGACGCAGCCCTCGCAGCCGCCGCCGCCGCGCCCGTCAAGCTCGACACAGATGACCTCGCCGAGGTCGACTTCACCGTCCAGGGCAAGGTCGGCTCCTGCGGCAACTGCGCCCTCGGCGACGCCTTCCGCTGCGACGGCTGCCCGTACATCGGCCTGCCCCCCTTCAAGCCCGGCGAGGAGGTGCGCATCCTCAACAACGATATCCAACTGTAATGCGAAGCTTTCTCTTTATCACGAAATTTGTTTTATTGGGAGTGGCATATCACGGGGAGTTTCAATCATTTTTTTTTTTTTTTTTGGCACAAATCGGATCACGCAGAAGCCTCTGGTACATACATACCTTTACAGCAGCTTGTGCATACATGCATTTTCTGGATTGGGGGGAAAGGGAATTCGGCGGGGGAATATCACGGCAGGCGGCAAACGCCAGATTGGGCGCTTCTCATTAGAAAAAAAATTGTCTTGAGGTGTTTGAGGCGTATGAAAAACACGGGGCAGCGATATATATAGGAGGACACTGAATGGATCAATCACACCGCCACCCACCAGCATGGGGAAGGGCAAACGAAGCAAAGGCATTTGTAGGCCGTAACCAAACGATAAAAATAGCATTTCGCTAGAGACAACATTTTGCTCTATACTTGATGATACACATACAACTCCGTCCCGTGCTGAATGGATCCGAGTAGTAGTGGTGGTGGTCGTAGTCGTAGTAGTAGTCATCTGGGGCTCCCTTTTGTTTTTGTGATCCGCTAAACTTCCCATGCATTGATCCGAGGAGCCGTAATAGTAGTTCAACCAACCCGAGCCGTTCATTGCCTTCCCAGGCTGTCCGGGTTCTTACCTCGAGCGGCTGCCGTTGGCCGCCCCCGAGGGCTTCTTCTCCTGGGGCTCGTCGTCGCTGTCCCCTCCAACGCTGTACCGATCCTTGTCCATCTCGTGGGTGGGGGTCGCCACATGCAGGTCGTCCAACTCGCTCTCGTCAAAGTCGCCTACCTCCACGTCCCGGCCGCTACGCCTGTCACGGAAACCATCCAGGCCCCGTGTGCCGCCTCTCTGGCTCGTTGCCGGTGGGCCGCCCATGAGACCCTGGTAGCCCCTGCGCTTGCGACGCTCGCGCCAGATGTACCAGCCCCAGACGCTGGCGGCAATGACGACAATGACCAGGACAATCTCGCCTGAGCGGTAGTATGCCTTCCACTTGGCCTCGTCCAGCTTCTTCTGCGTCTCTTCATCGGTGTTGGTGCTGTTGCCGATGCCGCCGACCGATGTGGCGGGGCCAGTCTCACCGTCCAGCCGGGAGTCGGTGGGCGTTCCGCCAACGGAGCTGATGTCGACCTTCATGAAGCGGTCAAGCATGTCGCGGGAGCGGCGGGCGTAGTCGAAAGGAACCATATGGGAGGAGTTGTAGAAGAGGATGTAGGTGAGGTTGCGCGCCTCCTGCCAGAATCCCGCAGGCTCGCCTTCCACAGTCCAATCGCGGCGCGGCGCCCAGTTTCCGGGTGAAATCTCGAATCCCTTTCCGCCGTTCCATTCCATGTCGCCAATCATCTGCTCAGTTCCCATATGGTTGCAAATGAGGTCCTCGGCACCGGAAAAGAGGATGACGGGAACCTCCTTCAAAAGGTCGGGCAAGAAATCTCTCGAAGGCTTCGAGTTCTTGGCTCTAAAGGCAGCGCCAACCGCGCCGTTGCACTCCTTCCAGCCGGTGTTCTTTTGAGGGTTGATGTGGAGAGCGCTGACGACGTCGGCTCTTCTGAGGTAGGGAGTAACGTTGACCAAGTCGGGAGGCCAGTTCATACCGCACGAAGGGTACGTGTCCTTGAGGCGGATGTCGTACATGTTGATGCAGTCGCGCTGGCCCTTGGCGTTCACCTTGGCCGTCTCGGCGAGCAAATCCTGCAAGACAGTTTCGCACTCGGAAAAGTCCACAGTGTTCTCGACGGCAAGTGATGTTCGGCAGATGCGCCATTGCTGCTCAAGCTTCAGAGCGACGGGCGAGCCCTTCTCAATGAGCTTCCTCTCGTAGGCATACTTGAGGTAGGCATCGTACTGCTCCTTGGGAGAAATCCAAGCGTTTCCGAGCAGGAGACCCTGCAAGTTCCAGATGGTCTTTGTTCCGGGCTTCTTGTTCCTCTCGAGCATCGCCTTCGCGATGTAAGGAATGTGCTGGCCAGCGTAGGATTCACCTGCAATGTAGATCTGTTCTCCGTCAGCTTCGGTCTCTTGGTATGGTCTGGTTTGTTCGGACTTACGTCGTCATGCTCGTACTCGGGGAACATGGCGAACCACTTCTCGAGGAACTTGACAAATTGCTCGGCCATCTCGTCGAGCTCGTGCAGGTATGCATTGGTGTCGACATAACTGAAACCGGTTCCAACGGGGTTGTCGACGAAGAGCAGGTTCGCGAACTCGTTCCAGGAGCCGTTATTGTAGGTGAGGGTGTCCTTATCCTTGACTCTGTAGGGGCCAATCTCCATCAAGGCACCGTCTTCGGAACTGCAGCCGGGGCCGCCGTTCAGCCAGATGACGGTGCGCTGCCTGTTTGCGATGTGCTGGTTCTGGAAGTGCCAGAAGAAGAGGTTTCCGTTGTGTTCGGGGGTGACTTCGACGTGGCTGTGATGAAACGCGCGTCAGCAGGAATAGCTTCACCAAGCGGCGAGACGGAAGCGTCGGGGGAAATCCTGTGCTTACCCTGCGTGCATCTTGATGAATGGCTCTTTCGGGGCGCCGGGCAGATCGTGAACGAAGTAGTCGGCCTGGCTCTGGGCGAGCACCGGTGCGGTCCATGATGCCAGCGCAAGCACCAGCGCGGACATCATCGGTAGGATAGCCATGGTTGGGGAAGTGTGTCCTCCCCAAGGCTACCTTTTGATGGGGGTATTAGACAGAAAAAGGTTACGAGCGTGACCCGATCTGTGATTGCATGGAGACTCTCTCTTCGCCGATGACCACAAGCAAAAAAAGAAAAGGGAAGATGGTTGCAGTGAAGTCTAGGTGGAGGGAGGGAGGATTCGGATTGTGGAAGGGAGATGGGGAAAAGAAGATGCGATGCGCGAACTTGATTGAATTCCGTCCGGCGCAGCAGCAGCAGCAGTGAGCGGTAGCGGCAGCAGGAGCACGCGGTGGACGGGACATGCAGAGACAGATCTGTAAAGGTGTACTCTAGACTCGTGCATGCCCGTTGACCACTCATCGGTCGTTGCGCAGCTGTCCGCCGGGCATCCCTGTCGGGTCCAGGTCCTTGGCCAATATTGGCTGGCGCAGCGTTGCACAGACTGCCAGACTTGAAGGAGAATTTGGGGGGTTCGCCTCCGTTCACTTGCTGCCCGCCCTGGAGTCGACCGGCGGCGGCGGATAGTAGCGCAGCCGGAAGGTGCCGCAAGGGCGGGGGGCCACTGTGGCACTCTCTAAACAAGGGGCTTACAGGCTGGCTGCTTCACCTCACCTAGACCCAGGGACAGTCGCCTTCAGCAGGTAGGTACTTGCTGGAAGTGACGTGGGGCAGGCCCCAGCTTTTTTTTGGTGCGCTGCAGTGGTTCCAGACGGGAGCGATGAGGGTGGACGGGAGATGCCATCCAGGACAGGCTCCAGCATTCGCTTCTTAGCGAACCAGAGGGAGCCCGAGGTTAACTTTACTGCTGCGGCTGTGCGGTGTCGGGCTGCTGGATGCACCTTGCGTAAAACAGAGGTGCACTCTGGAGTTTCCATCGTCGTTATTCTTGTCCCGTATGGTTGCTTATGTACGAACAGTAGGCACTATCTCAGACTCGAGAACGCGCAACCAATACTGTAAGTGATAGAGCTGGATAGTAAGACGCCAGCGACTATTTCCAGCCCATCCCCTAGATACCCCGTGCAATGCTTGGACTGTCGATCGAACCCCCTCATGCCGTTGAGCTTCACAACCGTCAGGTCAGACCGGGAGCTGGCCGGAATGAAATGCTAAGGAGCGTCGGGTTACATGTAGACAGCAGAACGCGCGGAATTCCCATACGGATCGCCGAAACCTGGTTCAGGGTCCGGCTTAGGTAAGGCACCCATCCACCTACGTGCCTACCATACCTGTACTTTGCCTCCTCAAAATGGGTACGTACCTATGAGATAAGCAAATCTCCAGCTTTTAGACGTGCAACCTGAGACATCAAACGCTGCTGCGTATCTCCCATCCCTTGTACCTGCCCTTCACAGGGTATGAATGCTGGAACTCCTGGAGAAGAAAGCCAAGACGGACACCTTCCAAATGATACGGGGCCGAAATCACGGTTGATGTTGATCATGTTGCTGCGTCTTTCTTGCCTCTGACCATCAGGTATCAAGACAGCCGTTGCCAAGTGGGATGCGGCATCTTTTCTTGGGTCTTGCAAAGTACCCGTTCCGTGTCTTAGGGCAGCCTAGCAGACCAGCAAGCGCCTACCTAGTGTAGATCTGCTCAATGACTCCAAACAAGCGTTTGACCAACTTTTCAGCCCATCAAACACACAACACCCGCCAGCCCAACGCCCACTGGGTCCCCTTTGACACTATTACGCGGCCTCACGGTACTGCATAGTGTTATTCCCACAACCACACGCTTCACCTCACACTCCTTGCAAAACAGCCACAGTCTGGAACACACACACACACACACACCTCTCCTCCTAGTCACCCCTCGTCTCCCGCAAACAACCACCCCCGTCCCGTCTCTTGCTGCCTTTCACAACGCAAACATGGGAAAGACGTACATCGTGGAGCACCTCGACCCCGAGCTGGGGCCTTGGTCCGAACTCGAGTACATCGCCATCGCCAAAGAGACCCATGCCGCCGCCGGCACCTTCCTGCTGTCCTCCCTGCCCGCCGCCTTCAAGGCCCCGGAGAAGCTGAGCGAGGTCCCGGCTTTCAAGGCCGAGAACCGGGGCGTCGAGGAGCTGTACGCCCACGACAAGTCCCGTGTGTGCCTGCTCGACCCCGCCGCCGCCAGTGACTTGAGCCCCGAGGATGGTGAAAAATTTGACGCCTTTTTGTTTGGCGGCATCCTGGGTATGGATTCTCCTCACGTCCGACGCTTTTTCTAATTTCTGACGTTTCTAATTCGTACACAGGCGATGACCCCCCAAGAGGTAATTCTGATTAAATCCGTTTGTGACATTGGCATCCATTCTGACCCTTGCAGACCGGACCTCCGAGTTGAGGAAGAAGGGATTTGAAGGCAGACGGCTCGGACCCACTCAAATGACCACCGACACCGCCGTCCGTGTCACCAGAATCGTTGTCGAGGAGAAGAGTGCGCTCCGCCTACATGCAATCCTGTCAATTTCAACCATTCACTGACAACATGCAGCACCACTGGACAAGATCCCCTACGTTACCTACCCCGAGCTCAAGTTCAGCGAGCATGAGAGCACCGAGATGCCCTTCAAGTACGTGACGGACAAGAACGGCGAGCCCATCATGCCCGAGGTAAGAACACCATTGCGGCTCTCAGAGCATGATGCTAACCTCCATCCAGGGCATGGTTGATCTCATCCGCAAGGACGCCGACAAGGCCATTGATGACCTCTTCTAACTGATACCAACCCCAAAAGCAATTGACTACGATTTACGAGGACGAGTTCCATTTTTAACATCTTTTTCCTGTGAATGCAGCCCAAACCATCAACCTCGATTCGATTCCAGTTGGACAAGAGCATATGTGAGAGAATGTGACACCGCCGCAACGCTACATACAACTCACCAGAGTCATTTTAACCATATCTCACGTATCGGCGTAGGTGCCGAATCCAAGCCGCCATGAACCCCGCATCAGAGATCAGCCGTCTTTTAACTTTCAGATAGGCGGTTGTCGATGTTTTTACACGCTCAACTTCATCATTCATCCCGTCCGCTCGGAAGTTGACAATACCCGGTTAGAATTGATCCGGTCTGTTCTTCATTGCACTCCGGGAACGCTCCCGCGGGAACAATCCCGATCAAGTTCGCCTCAGCCGCCACTGCTCATACCATGTCTCCAACGAAGGAACCATCCCTCTTATCATCGACTTGCCTTTCCGGGAACCCATCCCCCATCGATCTCCAACCCACATCCCTGCAACCCCAGAAAGCTCCCTCGTCATCAAAGTGCCAAGCACTCGCTCTCTCTCAACCTCCTCCATCTCATCTCGTGCACTCCCAACCTCTAATCGCTCCATGTTCGACCTCACACCCAAACCCTCCGCACAATGTCCAACCCTCAATTCACGTTCCGCCAAACGACCTTCACCCACCCCTCCCTCCTCCTGACCCGCCGCAACACAGTCTCCCGCACGACCCTCCACACCCAGCTCGCCCAGCTCCGCGCAAACGGCCAATACGACGCCTTCAAGCTCAAATGGCACCCCATCTACGACGACAACTCCCGCTGGCCCGCGCCCCTCCACCTCTTCTGGGACAGCGACGTCGCCAAATGGATCGAGGGCGCCTGCTACTTCCTCGCCGATGAGTACGACGCCCGCATCGACGCCGCCGTCCGCGAGCTCGTCGCCATGATCCGCGACGCCCAGCACGACGACGGCTACCTCAACATCCACTTCTCCGTCGTCGCCCCGGGCCAGCGCTGGACCAACATCCGCGACATGCATGAAATGTCGGTCTTCCCGAGAGTCGCCTGAAGCTAACACACGCCCTGACTTATAACAAAATCAGGTACAACGCTGGACACCTCATCGAAGCAGCCCTCGCCCACCAGCAGTACTACCGCAACGACCTCCTCATGGAGCCCCTCGCAAAGTATATCGCCCACATCCGCGCCCGCTTCGGGCCCGGCGCCGGCCAGACGCGCGCGTACCCGGGCCACCCCGAGATCGAGCTCGCCCTGCTGCGCTTCCACTCCGCCACCGGCAGCCGCGACGCCTACGACCTCGCGCGCTTCTTCCTCGAGGAGCGCGGCAACCCGCGCGGCCAGGACGGGCAGCACTTCTACGACTGGGAGGCCGCTGTCCGCCGCGACGACGAGCCGCGCTGGAAGCGCCCCAACTCGTGGCCCATGGACCGCTCCTTCTGGTACTGCCAGGCCCACGCGCCCATCCTGCGGCAGGATACCGTCGAGGGCCACGCCGTGCGCGCCATGTACCTCCTCACCGCCGCCGCGGACCTGCTGAACCTCTGCCAAGGGGCCTCCTCGGGGACGCCGCAGGAGCTGGCCGAGGCCGACGCCTGGCTCGCCGCGCTGCGCCGCCTGTGGGCGAACATGGTCGACCGCAAAATGTACCTCACCGGCGGGATCGGGGCGGTCGCGCAGTGGGAGGGGTTCGGGATCGACTACTTCCTCCCGCAGGGCGCCGACGAGGGCGGCGGGTACGCCGAGACGTGCGCGAGCGTCGGGGTGATGATGCTCGCGGAGCGGCTGCTGCACGCGGACCCGGTGCTGGACGGCCGCTACGGCGACGTGATGGAGCTGTGCCTGTACAACAACGTCATGACGGCCATGAGCGCGGACGGGAAAGCCTTCACGTACGAGAACGCGCTCGCGAGCTGCGACGCCGCGCGCAGCGAGCGCGAGGACTGGTTCGTGTGCGCGTGCTGCCCGCCGAATGTCACGCGGCTGTTTGGTAGCCTGGGCGGGTACCTGTGGGACTACGGGGAGGGGTTCGTGAATGTGCACCTGTACACGAGCGCAGCGGTCGAGTTCGAGGTGGAGGGGGGCAGCCGGAAGGTGAGGTTTGAGCAGAGGTCGAACTGGCCGTGGGAGGGCAAGGTGGGGTTCCGGCTCGACGGCGCCGAGGGGGTGGACATGACCGTGCGATTGAGGATTCCGGCGTGGGCGAAGGGTGATTTCATGCTTCTTCCCGCGCCGAAGGTTGGCCAGTCCAAGGTGGAGAGGGGGTACCTTCACCTGGGCCCGGCGTACATGGCCGAGAACCCGGCCTTTGCGATTGTGATTTACGGGTTCGAGCCGCGGTGCATTGCGCCGCATCCGTACACGAACCAGCGGACGTTGTCCCTTGCGCGCGGGCCGATTGTGTACTGCGTCGAGGATGCAGATAATGAGTGGGAGGAGAACCACTTCAAGGATGTTGGCATCAAGCGAGGCGGTGTAATTGAGGAGATTTGGAGAGTTGACAAGATTAGGGGGGAAGAGTACTTTGCTCTGAAGACGACCGGTTGGGTACGTACGCCTGAAGTGGTGATGAGTGGAGAGGAGGGAGAGAAGAGGGACCTTGTGTTTGTGCCGTTCTATTTCAGGTCGAATAGGGGTGGCAAGGGGCAGATGAGGGTTGGTTTGAGAGATGATGGGAGATGAATATGATATCCATGGTACACGCTGGAGACCGAAGTGAAAGATGAATTTGGCATGGCAGCTTTCTTGAGACTCTTGCGTATATATATCTGTCTGATGAGATACCACATAGAGACCTGTCAAAAAATTGTGGTAGCGAGCCAACCAACCACCTCGCCCCAGTGTGAGACTCTGGCCATCACAATGCTGCAAGTACATTTGCTCACTCAAGGTAGAGACCACTTCCACCTTGAAAGCCGTTCTTGCGTTTCACCCCGTCGCCCTATGTGGATAACACGTTTATTCTGATGGCCTGGTGCATGCTCACTGGCCTTTTATGAATAGGATCCGTACATCTTAGCCCCTACCTCGCAACCCCAAACCCCAGCAAGTCGGAAAGAATCTCACAAGGCAACCATCTACCGCTTCAAGGCCATCTGCACCCTCGTCTTACACTCATAACACAAACTCGCCTGGTTAACCCTCACAATCGCCGCCTCGTTCGCAACCAGCGCCGCCAGCCGCGCCTGGAACGCAATCGACATCATCACCACAAACTCCCCAGGCAACTGCGCCGCGAGCCTCTTCCACGTCGCCGGCGCGCAGTTGGCCACGAACAAATCCCTCATCCGCACCACCAGCCCCTCGACCGCATCATCCTCGCCCCCACCGCCGCCACCCCGCCGCGGCAGCGCCTCGAGCGCGACGTACCCGTTGGCGAGGTTTACCACCCACCATTCCGCGCAGCGCGGGTCCGCAAGCTTCGCAGCCGCGACGTCGAGCGTCTCGCGGATGGCCGTCTCGACCTTGCCGCGCAGCAGGTCGTCGAACAGCCGGTCCGTCAGCGCCCACATGTCGACGAGCTCGGGCAGGTCGTGCGGCGTGTGCATGTCGCACGGCTTGATGCTGAAGGGGGACACCTCGTAGACGGTGCCCTCGGCGTCGGCGGCGCGGCGCTTGACGCGCGCGGCCGTCAGGCGCGTGAAGTAGCACAGCTTGACGTAGGTGCCGAGGGTGAGGGGCTGCACGTCGTCGAGGTCGACGGTGTTGGAGACGGACTCGGCGAAGGGCCCGTCGAGGCAGCGCTGGAAGTACTTTGAGGACTCGACGAGGAGGGACTTGTGGATGGCGAAGGACTGCGTTGCGGTCTTGAGCCAGATGATGGTCTGGGGTTGTCTGTGCGATTGGTCAATTGTTGTTGATGTGATGAGAGGTCTCAGGCTTCGGAGGTGGTTCTGGTCTTCAGGAGTATTTGCTCATAGAGATGTACTCAAAATGAGAGAGTGTCCGGAGATTCTAGGAAAGCAGGATTATGTCCACGTAAACCGCAAGCCATTGCCTCATGGTGATATATGAATGATAAAACGGACAACGTAGTAGAACAAGGGATTCCGCCGCAATCGAGCGAGTCTTGATAAAATGCAATGTTAGCTTACTTTAAAAGACTTCCCATGCCATCAAGCTCATCGGGCCTGGGAGCTGATCGATCGAGGATGCCAGTCATAGTGTACGGATGGAAGATGTTAGTCTATCAGAGCGAAGGGATCAAGAATACACAAGAGAACCACTTAGGGCAAACTGCAGTACGAAGAACCGTTAGAGACGAATTGGGTCCTTGCTAGGTGACCATGATGCCTCGCGTCACAACCCCGCGCAACAGAGTGAGGCGGAAGTCTGTCAGCCTTCGTCTGAAGTCGTCGTCTTCCTTAGTCATGTGAGATCACCATTCGAGAACTCGTAGAGGCTAAGCGGCATATGATCTCGGCTCTGCTAGCTCAGTGTGATATGCAATTATCTGTTCAGATGATCCGCCTCAGAGGCCTAATGTACTTCGGGTCCGGAACCAAGCTAGTTGTAAGCCCGGCGGCATATGTGACGTTGAGTCGTTCGCTCTGTCCTCCATTTCGCAACTAACTGAATTGCATCTCAGGAATGCCCAGCTTTGCCACTGGTGCAATGCCTGACCATTCTGATCATGGTCTAGGATGAATTGGCAGCAAAGAGACTAGTAGTCCAGATAGACCAGCAGAATATTGCGTGCCACTGAATTGCAATTTGTCAACTTGGAGGAAGTGAGGTTGCGTGAAACTCAATTGACGACAAGACATGGGACGATGCAAAACCCAAAAAAACACAGTCACAGCCGCCGGCAATCAACCGCAACTTCGAAGCCATTAAAAAAAAGCCACATTGGGCAAAAGAATCGGTTCTCCCCTTCCAGAATCGAACTAGAGACCTTTCGATGACAATGTAACCATTACAGTCGAACGTGATGAACCAACTACACCAAGGGGAGTAACGGGGCTGAGCCCCGCTTGGTGAATTGGAAGAGGCAGCGCAAAAGCACACTAAGAGCGCTTCCATCCACGGCCCACTCGACCGTCAAGCTGGCGGGGGCCACCCACAACGCCTGTCTTTCGGGGCTCTTCGTATTATATTGTGTTCTGCTTCTTAGTTAAAAGAGTAGCGAAAGCTTTGATACCTCATCACGAAAGTGCTTCATCATTTGGAACTGATGTTTATGCAGAGTGCCACTTACATACAGGTTGTTCTTTGCACCGTCATTGCCATCAAAAATGATTTCGCCCCTGTGGGTTGATTGGGCAATATCAGGTTCAGCTATAGGCAGGTTTTACTTGGGCCAGAAATTGGTGCAGAACCCGGTTAGTTACTTGCACTCTGTCGATACGTAGATGGATCATGTGTGGTGTGGGATGGCTCTGCCTCCAATACACGTCGCATACCTTGTCACTGCATGGGCTTCCATAATGTTTCCTTAAGAAGTAGTTCTCCTTTGATATTGTACTACAAGTGCCTAATCCCCGACAAGACATTCTCTTCTAAGCTGTACTTTTTTGATCTCCCTCGCGCTTCGTCCAATCCTCCCCTGTAGGGCGCACCTCGCATACGCGCCCTACCCAAACCAGCAGACGAAGCTGGTGGCATGATAAACAGAATGATAAAAATGCAGTTTCCCAACGCCGAGCCCCAAAAGAGCAATGCTATGCCTTACCTTCTTCGCTAATGAGCCCGCAGTCTCTTCATCTAGTATAACCCGAACAACAGAAAGTCCAAAGGGGAATAAATCGAAAGAAAAAACGCTCGGCTCATTCCATCGTCTCCTTCATGCGATGCGATCTTGACCAACGCTTATTTGGCGTTGGCTGACTTGTGGGACTCCAAGGCAGCAGCGAGCCCCTTTGCCATGTCTTCGGTCTTGACCTGGACCATCCAGGTCTCGAGGCCAGTGCCATTTTCGTTCGAAGTGGTCAGCTTGACGTACTTCTTCTCCGCCTTATACGTCTCACTGGGCAGGACCGTCCTGTTGAGCACAACGTGGCCACGAGGCTCGGCTCGGAGAAGCATTCGCACGGCGCCGGTGGTCTTGTGCTTGAGAAGACGGAATGGCCCGATGCCCTTCGTGGACCAAGGGCTCTTGTTCTTCGGCTGGTCATCCCCGTCATCCTCCTCAGATCCAGCAGGGACAAACTTCATGACCTTGGCGCGCACCTCATGCGCGACCGTCTCATCCTCCTCGCCGGGACCACCCTCGGTGAGCTTGATCTGCTCGTGAGGCTTGCCATCCGCATCGTCGCCTTCACCATTGGCAGCCGCCTTCTCAGCCTCCGCTGCAGGCTCGGGCGTACCGGTCGCGGGCGTCGTAGCGAGGCTAGAGGCACCTCCGAAGTTGAAGGGTGAGTTGGTCCCGGTAGTTGAAGCACCAGCAGGAGGCTGCAGGCCTCCGAACATGCCGGAAGGCTGCGCAGGCTTGGCACCAAAGAGGTTGCTAGTGGGGGCAGAGTTGGACGCTCCGAACAGAGGCTTCTGGCCGGCAGGGGCGGAAGTTCCAGCACCGTTGGATGCGCCAAATGTGAATGAGGCGGATGCAGATGGAGCCGGAGCGGGGTTGCTTGCGCCGTTGTTCGCACCGAAGGTGAAAGATGAAGAAACGCTTGGAGCAGCAGGGGCTGCAGGCTGCGACGAAGCACCTCCAAATTGGAAAGGAGAGCTGCTCGCCGGAGCAGCAGAAGATGAACCACCGCCACCGAATTGGAAGGGAGTGGATCCGCTGGAGGGCGCAGAAGATCCACCTCCGAAGTTGAAGGATGTAGGCGCAGAGTTGGAGTCACCGTTGGAAGCAAAGGGGTTGTTGAACGATTGACCACCGCCACCGGCGCTGAACGTGAAAGACGAACCGCCTCCAGACCCGAAGCTTGGAGCAGCGTTTCCGTTGGTCTGGGGCTCGGAAGAACCACCGAACAAGTTGGAGGAAGGGGCGCTCTGGGAGGCGCCAAATGTGAAAGAGGAGGTGGAGGGAGCTGGCGCGTTGAATTGCTTCTTCGCCGGAGGGCCATCCTGCTTCATGGGGCTACCACCAAACATGGGTTGATCCGCCTCTGGCTTTTGCGAACCGAAGAGAGGGTTAGGCTCGGCAGGCTTGCTGCCACCGAAGCTGAAGATGGGAGCTGCTGAGGCGGCTGGGGCCGGTTCAGGTGCCTTGGGAGCAGCAGGCTCCTGAGGCTTTGCGCCAAAGAGGCTGGAAGTGCTTGAGGCAGGCGCCTGACCACCGAAGGGAGTGCTGGATTGGAACGGACTGGCGGTTCCAGAGGTACTCGCTCCGAACAGGGGCTTGGCCGGTTCAGCAGCGGGAGTAGATTCCTGGGGCTTGCCGCCGCCGAACAGTGTGGCCGACTGCATGACAGGCTTCTCCTGAGAGCCGAACAAGTTGGAAGCCGGAGCCGCAGGCTTGGCCTCCTCTGCTTTGGGAGCGGAAGCACCGAACGAGAAGGTCGGGGCAGTGGGCTTTGGAGCTTCATCCTTCTTCGGCTCTTCCGTAGTCTTCGGCTGGAAACCGGCAGAAAACCCGGCAAAGGGAGACTTGGCAGGAGGCTTTGAGCTGTTCTCCTTGTCAGACTCCGCATCGTCGGGGGCAGAACGCTTGCTCGACTTGGGCTGCTCCTCGGCCGGCTTGTCCTGCTTCGGCGCGCCGAATAAGTTGGAGGCGGGCGCAGCGGGCTTGGCACCGAAGATGGAGCTCGATGTTCCGTTAGTAGAAGCCCCAAAGAGGCTGCTGCCGGCGGTAGGAGCGGGGCCAGCACCGAACTTGATCGGGCTGTCGGGCTTCCAGGTGGCATCGATGGGGGCCGGCGCGGGCTCCTCGGCTGCGGGCTCAGCAGAGTCCGCGCGGACAGGCTGACCGTCATTTCCCTTGGTAACGCGGTCGAAGAGGCTCTTCGGCGTGGTCTCTCTGGCGTCGGAAGAGGTGCTAGAGGGCCCCGTAGCAGCGCCGCTGGAGAAGAGTGGCTTCTTCGCAGCAAAGAGGCTAGAAGTGGGCTGGGCCAACGGCGTCTCGGCGCCACCACTAGCGGCCACGCTGGGCTCGTAGCTCTGCTGGCCGGCTTCTTGAGTCTCCGCCTCTTCCTCCTCGGAATCGGTCTCACTCTCACCGTCGGCCTCCACACCGCTGTTCTTCGCGGAACTGTTGTCCGAGAGGTAGCCAAAGATGTTTCCGCCTTGAGGCGGCTTGAGACTCTCAAAGACCGACTTTGTGGGTCCACCGTTGGCGCCCTGGGAGGCCCCGGCGAAAGGGTTAGGCTTAGGCTCGGGAGCCTTGGGGGTTGCCTTCGGTGTTGAGGCAGGCCCCTGGTTGTTGGCGATACGCTCGAACATGCTCTTGGTGTTGGAGGAGGGAGTCGAAGTTGACTTTTGCAACTTGGAGGGCTGGTTCTCGTCTGCCTCGTCAGTTACGGTAGCCTTCCTCTTGTTCTTGGGTGCAGGCGTGGCAACGGGCTCTTCCTCCTCTCGGTCAAAGGCACGTCGCTTGTTGTTCTTGTTGGGAGATGCCGTGGACAGTGCCGTGTCCTTGGGGGTAAGTTGCTCCTCGGCCTTGCGCTTGGAGCGAGTAGTCTGCCTGGACGGGCTGGCATCGGCGGCGGCGTCCTCCTCAGGCTCAGGCAAATTGTGAGCGGCTCTCCACTTCTTCAGAACCTCATCCGAGGGCTTGACGTTCTTGAACTCGTACAGGCCATATCGGAGCATGATCAGGCTCCGGCTCTTCTCAAACTCCTTTGCGAAGTTCATGATGTTGAGCTTCCAGTCCTTCTTGGCAAAAATCTCGTTGGCCGCATATTTGAGACGACGAAGATCCAGAACGCAAAAGAGTTGGCGTCGCTGCAAGTCGTCATATTCGGCAGGAACCAGATGACTGAGGTACTGATCCGCGTACACGGTGCCCTTTGCCTCGAGCTCGGGGGGGATATCTCGCGCAAGAGCCTCGCCGGTGAGCTCGGGAGGAGGAGAGGGAATGCGCATGTGGAACAGCTCGGCGGAGTTCGACTTGGAAGCGAAGCCTCGAGGGGTGGCCTGGGCAATGTTCTCGCGATAAACCTTCTGTGAAGCCGGAGTGGCGCCGGGCGCGAAAACCTTCTTCATGGCGCTCGCAGGCAGGCTGGGAGCGAAAGGGGCAGCGGCCGGGCTCGCGGTAATGGAGGACGAACGGAAGAG